TATTGCAACAAGAAGAGTTTCTCACTGATATTCTGAAACGTCTAGATAATGATGTAGATCAAAAGGAAATCATGACAAATATCGAATCAAGCAGAAAAATCTTGACGTTACCAGAAAATATAGTTTTATATATGACTGTTAACATCATGAGATTAATACGTACAGTTCCAAATGTGTATGCCCCATGGAAAACATTCTTTCCTGATGTAACAGTTGCAGAAGGAAAGACTAACAATAAGTAAATACAGTTAGCATTTATTATTTAATGAAATATATGTATATGTGTTAGAATAATAATTTATAGTAAAAAGAAAAGTGAATCATTAATCAATAATTATAAAAACGTATAGTATTGAATTATAGTGAAGACTTTTTCTTTTCATGAAATATGTATAATAATAAATTTAAAATATCTTTTTAGAGACGATCTCTTTCTCAATAAACAAGTTTTTTGAACCGTAACTTATTTAATTTGTATATTTAATCATATTCGTAATATGAATTTAATTACTGCACAACTTGGTTTTAAGATAGAAATCATTGAAAATTATGCAATATATTAATGGTAATATATTTTTAGACTGAACATGACTAATGATTGGACACTATTGACTTCCACGAATGATATTGCTATCAGCAAATGTATTGTTGGATTGGAAAACGAAACAAATGCATTCTTCCTACGAGCTCATCCGTGCATAAATGATTATCGGAGCCCCGATCTGCCGGCTTTGCTCGTTTGTTTGATGTATCTTGATCAAATGGATGTAAGCGTTATATTTGTCAAAAATGAAAACGCAAGTTGGTATTTTAAATGTATAAGACAAGAATCCTTATTGTTATTTCAGGGACCCTTATCGTTACTAATTCGACATTCTGAACGTGCGCGCGATTACGAATTTTTTGTATCACTGCACGAAGGGCTTTTGTACTTAGCGATTAATGATGCTGCAGACCTGATAGGCGCGTACGCTAAAGCTAAAAAGAATACGGTATGAACAATAATAGATTATTCATATAAGAAATAAACATGTAAACATTGCATAAAACACTTAACATGTTATAATCATAAAAGAAAGTAAAAATATATATGAGAGAGAGAGAGAGAGAGAGAGAGAGAGAGAGAGAGAGAGAGAGAAAATCTTTTGCATCACGAATTTCTCGTTGTAGGAAAATCGTATGTCTGGGCAATGGACCGATATCTTTTGCGAATCAGCCAAATCTCTTATGATCTTCCAGCTTATGAGAATGAAGAATGCTATAGGCAATAGAGCGAATGAATCATTAAGATGCTGTCGCGGTTTACCGCTTGATTACTGTGTTCCACTAATGCGAGATATTCCCGCCATTACCAAGGAAGATATGAGCCGCGTAACAGTTAAATATATCACACCATTATTCGATCCAGAAGCATGTAAGACTATCATTGTGTGTCATAAATCTGGAATCTCAGCAATAAGCGAGGCTTTTAAAGGGTAAGTGAAATTCTTGTGACGTCTTTCTCTTTTCCTTAGTCTTAGATAATATACATAATTCTTTTTTTTTTACAGAATACATCATAATTTTAATACATACAGCAATTTTAAAGAAGCTTATTTAATACTATCTAAAAAAACGTAAAAATAAGTGAAGACTCAGCAATAATAAAGGTATAATAAATTAACAATCAAAATCTTGGAAAACATACAAGATTGTCCAAAAATAATTTACGCTCTTTTTCAATTTGAGAAAGTTATGTGATATGAATTTAATGTGAAAATACATTAATGATTTCATATTTAATATAAATGTTTAATACCATATAGAAATATTAACATTATATGTAAATAATATTAACATTATATGTAAATAATATTAATATTGCTATTTATTATTTTAATGTTTCATTCAATTTGCTTTCGTACAGACAACGAGATGTTCGAAAAATACAAAAATTTACATTTTTAAATAATTTAAATTTTATTAAAAATTTCGAATATATTAAAAAAAACGATCATTTTTAATATAGAATATCCAATACATATGTCTGTCATAGCATGGATGTAAACGTTTGATGTGTACATAAATAAAAATTCTTCGGAGGGGACGTTTTTTTCTTTTACGATTAGAAGATCAGAATGATTATTAAGAGGAAACTGTCACCGTTTCTATCTCTAACGCGGACACGCCACGTTGCTTGATAGGCAGATAAATGCCTCCGTAAATTTGAAATTCAAACATTGTAATATTTGTTGTATCTAGAGGCTCACCATCCAGAATCTCAACTCCACGGTAATAAGGTTTGAAGTCTTTCAAAGGTAAAGTCACCATGGTAAATACGTCATCTGATATTAATACCTGAAGCGAAAATTTTTGTAGAATATTTACCAAAAAAGGATTTTCCAATACAATATTTCAATATTTCATCAATAGAAAATTCAAACTAAAGATTGATACATGAAATGGAATCACTAATACGAAATAATAACGATAAATTGAAGATAAAACCGACATTCTTAAGCTTTACCGTGAAGAATTGTTCATAGCTGAAATACATATTGGAATTCTGTCCTCGATGTCTCAGAGATATTTTGTAGTGCATATTTTGCCCTTGTCCTCGGCAAGTGATTTCAATATTTCTGTATCTTGACAGATTCAAATTTGTCAATTTTCTGACGCCAGCGAAACCGGCACCATTTGGCTGTGGTTTCAGCAGCGTGAAAAAGACCGCTCTTTGAAAGAGTTGGCTCGTTTGTAGAGTTAAGGTAGCTTTGGATTTTCCTTCTGTTCTTACAGTGTCAGACATCTCCCGCCAGTCATCCACACTTTGGATATCCGTGAAATCGAATAGCATCATTTTGTCCCTAATTAAATTCAAATGCATAGATTTATGCTTTATACAGTGGATAAATTCAATTTGTAAGAGTATTATACAATTGTGCATCCATTCCAGTCGGAAAAGTTTATTTTAAACAGTCTATAATTTGCATAAAAAAAGAACTCTGTTCACAATTTCATGTGTCTTTATAAGAGCGACTCAGACCAAAAATTATGATTATTAATTGAATTGGCACTTTAACTCAACCGACAGATGTTTATTTTTATCAATATTATCACAAGAGGAAAAACTATCTAGTCATACTTATATCGCTTATTTGCTAACAATGACGTAACTTAAAAGTTATTTTTAAATTTATTGTAGAAAAAGAATGAAAACATAAAAAAGAATTTATATTCTTCTACAATTATTATATAAAAATTACATTTTAAAATTAATCTAAAAAAAGATTTTAATAATTTATAATGATTATAATGATTTATATATTTAAATAAATTTAAGATATATATAAATAAATTAATAAATTTATAGAAAATTTTTGTTTTCTGAGCTAATGTAATAAAATGTGTAGCAAATAATGTAGCAAATGTAGCGAACGATAATATCTATGATAAAATTGTAGAAACGGACTTGTAATCGATTAATAAAACAAAATCTATATAATATGTACAATTCATTGTTCTTCATCTTTTTTTAATACATTAAACATATAATTCTATTAATTATAATTTAACTGGAGTTTGATCGAAATCGCTCTTATCATAAATTAAAGTACTTGAAAAATTGAAATACAGGCATTCAAATACCGACAAGATGCATATCAAATTATGAATAGAATTTTCTAAAGTCCGATGTGAATTATAAATTGTCTAGGCGTGTAAGTAGACAAGAAGTGATACATTTTAAAATGAATTTGTCATTTTTGCAATGGAGGTTAATTCACGAAGAAAGTTATTTGTTCTCAATCATTTGTGATTTTTCTCGATGTCTACGATAATAGGAAGCTTTCGCTTTTCTAGATCCGTAATTCTGTATGCATAATTAATTTTCGAGTGTATCATACGTAATAATGATCATCACATCTCACCCTCTTGCAAAATGACAAGTCACGATAAAAACGGCGATCATTCGTAAATTCATATTTCAAGTTATATTATTTTCAACGAAGATGACACGAGTTTATAAGACGAATATAATCGAGTCAGTCACTCTTTGGTGACACGAACAATAGGTGCTGACATTTCATTGACATGCGACATGATCATGTTTGATTGCTTTTGATCACGTTGCTTGAAAGTTACTAGGATTTGTATTGACTTGTTTATGCGCCCTCAGCATTTGCGATAAAAATAGCCATTACTTCGCAAGGCGTTATAATGATAAAAAATGTTTTGGTGATAAATGATGACAAACAAGTAGGTTAAAACAAAAAAAAGTATATATTTTTAAAGTATACATAATTTTATTAATATTAATTATCTTTTACATATAAAATTATTTTTAACTTTTTGTGGCTGTGAATGACGTAAATTTGTTATCTTTAAAAATTATAAATAAAGAAAACCATAATTATCATTCTTAAAAAAATCGGATTTTGATAATGAAATTTATAATTATTTATTATTAATTTTGGCAAGCCAATGATCAATATTTAAATGAAAAGTTTTCAATTATAATAAAGATTTTTAAGAGATTACAATTTCCTATTTTCTGTAATAATACGAAAATTAAAATCCTTTATTAAACAATTAGTTTTATGAATATAATATAGGTACAAGTAGAATATTAATGAAACAGATGTCAAAAATTACATTGAAGATTTTAGTAAAAATAGATAATAAAATATGTATGTGGAAAAAATTTGTATTCATTTCTTAGGAAAGCATTCATTAACAAAAACAAAGATTGGCGTTCTCTTTGTTAAAGTATCACATAGACATGTAGAAGTATTTATTCCCTGACATTTTCTCATATTTGTATATATATGTACAAAATACAAAAATATAACAGTGATAAAAAAATGAATTTCTGATTTATCAAACAAATATTCTACTAGATATACGAAAAAAAGAACGAAACTTTAATCCTAAATTTAACTTAGATACCTCCTAAAATATCTTAGATAATGTGATTGAGAGGGTGCATAATAAAACAACCGTCCGTGATTCAAAAAGATCAATAAAATTTTGGTCAAATTTATTCGACGCGATCTTTTGCATTTTCTTATATTATTGAATATAAATCGTGTTTACATGTCACACAACGCTGAAGAGAACGTAAATCATCGTGTTCGTTGCGTGCTGCCTCTTTATTTTATTTTCTTTTTTATTTCTTTATGGAATCTCAGCCATATTAATATTACCTTTGTACTATCAAATCATAATAAGATAGAGCTTATATAACTTCGTTTATGTGAGAACACACAAATTAATTTATCAATGTGAATTAGTTTATATATTTATATGTGTTCTCAATATAATAGATAATGTGAAAAATAATTTGCTAATACTGCTTTCTAATGTAAAGCATAGAAGCATCATACATTAAGTTAGAGATTCGCTGAATAGATAAAAAAAAACATGAAAAAAATGCGTGGTAATATTTCACGCTAAATTGTTTCATATAGCATGTTTCAAATAACATATGGCTATATTTGCTAGTTTACATTCTATAAATAAAAAATAGATTTTCGATTGATATCACAAACAAAAGACGAATAATTCCATCTTTAATTTGTCACTAAAGACAATATTAAATTTACATATGTATGTATACATATTTATGTTTCATCAAGAATAGAGATATCTTTTAAATATTAATTAAAAAAAGTAAACTTTTGATCCCTACTTTCTCTCCCCATCTATAATTAATTTGCAAGATAACTGAAATCATTAAGCTTGCAATGTGTAAATGTGCATATCTTATCAAATAAAACAGGTTTAAAAAGTGAGATTAAGAAAAATCTGACCGTTTATAATTTAAGTTAATTTTCATTGATTAAATTCTTTTAAAGCAAGAACTTTGCATGTTACAACAAATATGTGTAAAAATGATCCTCCCATGCAGGTATAAATTAGTTGAATGTAAATTCCATCACTTGTGTTCGCTGTTAAATCGTTCCAACAGAAATTTTCAATCGAACTTATGAGAGAAGTTAATCGGCTTCTATATAAGCTATTGTATATATATTCTATAAACGAATTCTTTCTTGACCTAATTTCACAAAAAAATGCATGAAATATAAAACGTCTACGTGAAAACAGTATATAAATTGCAATAATCATACAAAAGCCATTTTATCGACAAATTACTGACTCTCCACGCCTCACAGAAATCAGCATTATCAGAATCATTTTTATAACGTCTCTACATTGTGTACTTATAACATTGTATTGAATATCGTAAATTGACGCTAATTAAAAAAAAGAACATTTTAATTATTTAATTTCATTCTTTTTTTTAAATGGACTTCACTTATCAAAGGGAGGATACAGGCTACAAGACAATCTGTCAACTACACTTAGTACAAATCATATATGCATTAATAGTACCGATCAATTAATATATCTATATACAAACAAATAATAAGACCTAACAGGAGCAGGAGTCCTTTCCTCCCTGCTGTTCATTAGATACTCCTTGGAGGCTGGTGCGACCTGGTTGACTCGGATTATGTTGTACACCAGATTCTGCTGCGTTTAGGTCCAATCTATACCGACAGAAAATATAATTAATATTATTCATGCATTAGTTCACAATTTATATTTTACAACGTGTGATAATTTTATTCAACATAGTTTTTATTCTAGGTGATTATAAATTACTATCAAACTCACCGCCCGTCTTGTATACTTTGGAATATTTTCTTTGCTGTTTCCAAGAAGGCTTCTTCCACATTGTGTCCCCTGTTTGAGAAATTTGAATACACGAATTCATTTACAATCATTTGAAAATTTTTATTTAAATTTTGAGATAACTAGAGATACTCACGTCTTTGCGCTAGCTTCGACAAACATTAAACCATGTTCATCAGCAAATTGTTTTGCTTCTTCATAGGTAACATCACGTTGACCTTCGAGATCACTTTTATTACCAATTAAGAATATGACCTGCACAATAGTTAATTTTTGTTATGGTTATAAAACGTATATAAAAAATAACATATATTAAAAAATTAATTTTTTTTCTTATATCATATGCAGAGGATAAATCAGTTTAATTAAACACTTGTAATCATTGTGATATGTAATATAGCAATATGCGTACAGTGCTCGGATTTGTTAAATTCCTTGTGTCTGTCAGCCAGCTACTCAGATGATTGTAAGTTGAACGACGTGTAATATCGTATACCATTAATGCTCCAGCTGCACCGCGATAATATGATCTAAGAAGAAATATTTTCTCTTTAGTACACATTTATAATTTTATATTTATTAAATACAATTATCGTCTGAAAAACAACTATTATTACCTAGTAACTGCTCTAAATCGTTCTTGCCCAGCAGTGTCCCATATTTGCAGTTTTATCTTCTGTCCTGCTACTTCTATAATCCTAGTCCCAAATTCGACGCCAATGGTATGTGGACAATCTGCCATGACTAAATTTACAAAATCATTTATACAAAAATGTATATTCTTTAACATTTTTATATAAATACAAAATATAAGATATAACACGTCAAGGAATAATCTATTTTTGGAATAAGTTAAAAAAAATCATATTTTAAATGGAAAATAGAATTAAAAAATAGTATTAGATTGTGTATAACTTAATTATCCACAAATTGTATCCTTATTTAAACAGAAAAATTAAATACCTAAGTTTCTTTAAAGATGAAGAAATTAATATTTATAATATAAATATTATAAATATTATAATATCTATCATAATATTGATCTTCATTTAATAATTTTTCTTTAAAATAGTCCTTTTTTATTATAAGTATATTAAGACAAAAGTCAGTGCACTGTTATACAACTATAAATGTTATCTGTCATGCACAACGTTGCCTGTATATACAGCATAATGTGCTATAGTCGTACAATTATATATGCATATGATTACAGTACATTCTTTAAGAATGTCACAACAAATAATGATAAATCATCAAATTAATTCAGCAAAAAAACAATTTTTCCTTACTTTACACACAATATGTATACATTTCTCTAATTATTTCTTTTATTACTTACATTTTTTTTCTGTAAACTGATGAAGCAGGCATGACTTGCCCACTCCCATATCCCCTATGATGATGTACTTAAAGATATAAGAATAATTATATGGACCGGTCGACATTTTGTACCTGCAATAAAGATTTCAAGAAAATAGTACTATATTTCTTGCAGCTATCTATTATAAATTATTCCGCAAGAGATAAAATTAAAGCTCATAATCTATGGTGAAAGTTCTTTAAATAATGTTTCCTTGTAAACTTATTGTTGAGAAATATCTATAAAATCAATTCTGCTAATCTCACACTTTATAAAATATCTCACGCTCTTTTGTTTTCATTTAGCATGAGATAAGATGATATGATTCATAAGAGTATACTAATATCAGATAAGAATTTTTTAATACATATAAATCAATAAATTTAAACAACTACACTTGTAATATAATTCAAAAATTAATAAAATCTTTAAATGATCAATTTTGATTGATAAAGAAATGTAATATTATACTCATTTATTTTTTAAAATAAATTATACAGAATACAATTTTACTGAAATTATTGTATATTATTTGAGTTTTAATATATTATTCAAAAAATTGATTTATTAATTTATTATTACATATAAATAAATATAAGATTGTATTTCTTTATCAATCAAAACTGACAATAATTTAAAGTTTTTTAAAATTAATTTTGGAATTATATTACACGAATGTAGCTTGTAATATAATTATTGTGTGTGTGTGTGTGTGTGTGTGCGCGTGTGTGTATGTGTGTGTGTGCGTGCGTGCGTGCGTGTATGTGTGTGTGTACACACACACAAAATGCTCTTTAAGAGATTATCTCTTTTAAAAATACAATTATATAAAATTCTTTAAATTAAAAAAAACATAATGTATATTTGATAGTAAATGACACACAGAAATGTTTATGAATTGAAACATCAATAATTTATGAGTAGCCTGATATAAAAATTATCCTTGTCAGAACTGACATTCGCAAATCGGGCGACATTGAATTACTCGACTCTCGAGACAGATTGAATTGAATTTGACGAGGACACAAAAAACATACGTTCATCGAAGGAAGAGCTTTCTTGAATTCCACGAACGGGGATCCGTCGAGGCAACAACAACAATACACCCGCCTACTTCCATAATTACGTTACGCCTAATTAACGCGATCTTTGCGATCGGCGAGGATACGCAAGAAAGTCTATGAGAGACAGACGTGATATGGACCTGTCGCGTTCTTGAATATTGAATCTTGAATATTCACCGAACTGATAACTGGCGTTAGGAGATAATAGAATTCTCCGATGTCAACAAAGCGCAGAGAATTACTCACACGCTTGTGAAACGGCGCCGTGTAGTGGAAGGTTGCTTGTCGTGATCGTTGGGCCGTGACCGAAGGGTGTGAACAGGGAACGTGCGGATGATGGTCCGCGGACTCGTTGCTCTTCGAACGCAAAGTTATTTTATCATCGAATCGCACAACGACCAACGATGGGGAAAAACGCTCGCCTCGAAATATCACGCACAATATGGCAGGCCGCGCTTGTCGCTAGCGACGATGGCGACGAGCGAAACGTCAAACCACCTGTCACTCGCTTTAAGTCCGTTCGTCCGTCCGTCCATTAATCTGCTGCAGCGCTATGATCTCATCGTTCGACTCGGTCGATTGATCGATTTTCGACTCGCGCCAACTTCACTCGCTGCGGCGCCACTTCTCGTGGCTCATAGACGTCATAAATCCTGATTCGTCAAAAGAATGGTCTGATCGGTCTGGTCGCGTCAGAGAGAAACCTGAGAGAGGCCATGCCGGCCTTCTTCCTGTTACCGTCGAAATCACCCGTACACTACTGCCAGTACATCCATTTTTAACTTGAGAATTACTTGATTATATACATTTTCTGATATTATCGATAAAATTGTATCGTCGAAAGTATATGTGGTTCGCTTCTGTACTAAATCCTCAGGACAGAAGTTCCGAATATTCATATAGGAAGGATTGTTTAATGGGTCTTTGAACGAAAAAATTTTAATTTTGTATCTCCTACATACATATGTAAATAAAAGTTATTGAATTTTAATAAACGAAATTGAAAATTTAAATAATTTAATGAATTTAATTTAATGAATTTTGTCTTATAATATCTTATAAAATTACGAAGTTATGTTTTTTTAGAAATTATTATTTCTTTATGCAAATTTTCAGCCTGTTTTTACCAAACATAATTATCAGTATCTACATATATCTTTTCTAAAGAAGATCTTAGCTTATTAAAAATAAATTTGTATAAAATTTTAATGTATTATTTAAATTACTTAAAAAATTTATACACATTTTTGCTAAAATCTTCTTTAAAAAATATAATTATTTTAGAGAATATATATATAACAATAGAATATATATAATTACTTTAGAGAA